GGGGTGGGGATTGGCCCCACCGATCATCCCTGCCAGCTTAGTGATGCCCACGGCAACAAATTTCGCCCGATCGGCAATTAGCGCGAAAATGGTGTCAACCAAGCTTCTCGGCCTTCAGAGTTGCGCTTTAGCTGCTGTAGAGTAGATAGGGGCAGGCGCTAATTTCTGCGCCGGCCTGCTCCTGTGCCATAGATTCCGTGCTACGAAACTTCAAGCTGTTTTCCTGTCTGGTTGGGGCAGCGCGCCCCGCAGTGTATTTGAAGTCTGCTCTTGGATTGCGAAGCTCATTTTTCTGACTGATTTTGCACCGTTTTGGATTGGATACAGCTACGAAAACAAGTATTCTACGGATTGGTTTTGCTCGTCTTACATGATTGAAGCCATTGCAGCGTGTACACGTACAACCACGGCAAACACGAACATTGCTGCAAGCAGGCTTAGACCAGTGGTTCATCTCAGGGTCAGAGCCAAAGAGATCCTGGAGGATATCCTGTGCAGTTCCGATACGAAGCCGCCAGTCGCACTCAGACAACTGGCAGCAGAGCTATGGGAGCAGTCGACAGCTGTGGAGATTTTGAATTCGGCTCGGGAGCTCTTCCCGACAGAGGATTTCCGCAGCCTTCAAGCATGGACCAGCAATCATTATCCTATCCTCTATGCCATTTGGGAACGGCAGCGAACAGACTCAGACATTCATACCTGCAGTGCTTGAGTTATGGAGGCCGTTTCATGTGCATTGGACGGATTTGTTTTGCATGTTATTGGCTGATGCAGATTTACATTATTTCCCATGCTGCGCCAGCACAGTATCAGCAACAGGAGAGCAGTGCGTATTGCGACATGATAGACAACCCACTGGCGGGTCCAGGTTTCGAAGAATGGTACAATATAAGCGGATGCGGACATGTTAACCTGTCTTCGCAGCACAGTTCTTGTACAAACTATTCACAATGCTTGACTCGTCTGCATAGGTTCCTGCGCCCAACGGAGCTGGACGTACATGGGCACCTGGCGCGACGTATTGGGACAGGCCAGGGAGCGCGTGTTGCACGTGTGTGCTTGAGTGCAGTAAGCGAAGGATATGCTTACCGGCAACACATACATCTGCTTGATCTGTTTTGGCATGCTAGGGCTCAAATCTGGAGGCTTTTCAATTGCTCACCCGCTTCCCCGAGCATGCCCATCGTGGAAGTTGATCCGTACGGGAGGCCGCCGCTGCCGAGGCGAAGACCGACGACAAGGGCTGCCGAGTACCGATCGCCCCTTCCACGAAGGCGGGAGGTTCGTCTCAAGCCAGCTGCTGAAGCGGGCCCAGCGCAGCGGAAGCAGCCGACGCCACAGGACATGAAGGGGAACGCAGCGCAGACTATGGGCAGGCGAACAAGAACTCAGCAGGACAGGCTGGAGGAGGCTGTGGAATTGCTGGACAAGACCAAGCGCCAGCTTCGCATACCGGGCAGCATCGGCAAAGCGGCTCGGAAGATGGGAAGGAAGATACAGCCAACTCTCAAGCTGTCTGAGGCATTCAAGGGGGAGAAGGCCAAGCCGGCCAAGAACAAGAAGGGCAAGGGCGACACAGCGGCAGCCGCTACGGCGACGAGGGCTGCTTCTTCGCGCGAGGTGGTCAATGTGGACGGACAGCAGAAGGGGGGCAAGCCTCTGTCGGTGCCGGAGACAGCAGTCAGCCAGGAGATCACCGGTAAGGCCACGAGCGGACAAAACAAGCAAGCGAAGGAGGATGATTCGTACGAGTACTACACTGAGAGTACAAGTGAAAGCCAAAGCTGTGTACAGATGGAGCCGGACAAGCCATGCAAGAGAGCTTGTGCGGATTACATGTTTGCTGGATGCGCTATTTTGCTTATCGCTTTGCGTGCAACTGAGCAGTGGGCACAGCATGAGTGGACAACCTTCAGTATTCTCTGCCTGGGGCAGGTATTTTGCAGATGCGGATGGCCAGACACCCAACATCTGAGAAGTGCGCTATGGACTGGTACAAAACGTGCTGTTAAGGGAGCCTATAAGCTGGTCGTGGAGCAGATGGCGACAGGCGCTTACAATGACGAGCTGACCTATATGCACGCACTTCTGATCATTTTGCAAATTCTCACACGAGAGGTGCAGCGATGGACAGCTCTACTCCACCGATGTCAGCAATGCAGGCAGCTGAGTCAAGATATGGAGCGCATGGAGCTTTGGCACACAATCTGTCAGCTTTGCGTTGATTGGCTAGGTAGCCGTATTGGGCACGACCAGCAGTGGACGCAAGCATGCCTGACCCAACGAGCACACAGACCGAAAGTACATGTTAATCGAGGACGAGGACGCAAAAGGCCGATCAACATAAACAGCACGCAGCGCAGCAGAGGTAGACCAGGACGTTGCGGGGGTAAGGTCAGATGTATGCTATACCTTGCCTGCTTTACACAAATGGTCAACGTGGCACAGAGTACAGGTAACTCGGGGCAGCAGATTCACAACGAAGCAGATGTTAGCTTCTTGGAAGTGGCCGCTCCGGTCCCAAATCCGGAGGCCGAGACCCATGTTGAGGACAGGATACAGGCGAAAGGACTGGGTCGAGGCAGAAGTGAGGGTTGGGAGTCTCGCCAAACTCCTGGGAACGGGGTCCACGCAGACACAAGAGAGTCAACGCCGCCCGTGAAAAATGGCAATGCAGGCCGAGAAACAGACACACCGTTTTCAAGAATACGGAAACGAGCTTACAAAAGAGCACTCAATCGAGCCAGCAAAGGACCCACAATGTACAGAGGCCAACAAGTTACACTGCAAGATTTGCAGGGTCAGTATGTTGGACGAGGGGACGTGCAGGCTCAGCGGAGAACCACCGTCAAACAACAGACACAGCGAACCAGCGCAGCTACTTTGACCGTCTCTTGCCTCACTTGGAATTGCGGAGGCCTCAGCAACCTCAGGGATGAATTCTTCACTTGGCTGGACAGTCAGTCCTATGATGTGATTTTCCTACAAGAAACCTGGCATACGCAATCCATTGAGTATACCACCAGGGGACGGCGTTGTATTAGTTCGGGTATTGATTGTGACCCCAAGAGAGCACACGCTGGTGTCATGACGATGCTGAGGGCCACAGTATTCAGACAGGATTTCATACGGCGTCACGAACATGTGCCGCTAGGCCAACAGATACATGAGGTTGACATATTACAGAAACGCTCGCAGCTTTGGTACCGTAATGGGACAGATTCCGCAAGGTCACAAGCTGGTGGTGGCTGGAGACATGAACTGCAATCTTGACCATGTCCCTACATGTACGGGTACTGGTATGTTGGCCCCGTCTGCTGTGTCGCCAGACAGAGAAGACCTGGTCGCCATCTTAGTTGATTTTCGGCTTCGAGCGGTCAACACATATGGCAGACGAGGAGGCTGTACATACGTACATGACGGATACAAGCCGGCGCGAAAATCCTTCATTGATTATATCCTGGTTCGGCAGAAGGGCCTGGGGAAGCATCAGGCAGGCATCATCAGGGACTGGCAGGTCGCACGATGGCGGCAAGGAGGGCGACATATGCCGTCCTGGACGACGGTCCGATTACAAAGATACAGGACAAGCATCCAAGCCCCTCCATGTCAATGGCCTAACTGGAAGTGCAAAGTATTGGTACAAGCTATAAAGGAACAGCCGGATCTTGCATCACAATACAAGCAGAGAATTGCAGTGGAGTTGCAGAGAGCTGGAGATTACGACCCAAAACAACTCAACAAAATCCTGCTACAGGTAGGGCAAGATATCTTCCGCATAAGGAGACCCGCTGCGAGTGCGCCACCGTGGGAACAGGAGGAGCGCGTGGGACACATTAAGACCATGTGGAGACACTACCGAAGCATGAGACTCATTGGGTTGGGGGATTTGCGACAGAGGAGGGCCCTTGGTAATATCTTTGCATGCTGGAGGCACCTAATCCATTGTCAGAAGATGCACAAAAGCATACAGAAAAATGCCAGGAGTATGCGCAGGACCAGGCTCGCCATTCTGACCCAGGAGGCAGACTCGCAGAATCACGCTGGGTGCACACAGGCCATTTTTGACTTGTTACGCAGATACACACCCAAACAGCAAAGACGCAAGGCGCAGCTCAGAACCAAGGATGGAAGATTGATGACACCAGCAGAAGAGGCGGAGGCGCTTTGTTGCTTCTGGAAGGAGGTCAATGGCGGAGAACCTCCGAGACAGGTTGAGCAGCTGCAGGGATACGACATCAGCAAGGAAGAAGTGGTCGATGCACTACAGCAGTTACGTGCCAACAAGTCCGCTCCCCAGCATTGCGCGCCGCATGCCTTCTGGAAATTAGCTGCAGAACAGATGGCGGACTATATGGAAGCGAAGGTCTTTCAGCGCTGGAGGACAGGCCAAAATGCCACACCGGCAGATTGGGCGGCAGCGTGGCTGGTATTCCTGAGCAAACCTGGTAAGGCCAACGACGACCCGAAAAGCCTGCGATCCATTTCACTACTTGATCCGATGGGCAAGGCAATATGCGGAGTGTTGAAGCAGCGCTTGGTACCGCGTCTGATGTGTAAGGCGAGATACCTACCACTGTTTGGGTACATACAACAAAGGTCCCCACAGCAAGCACTGACCCTGGTATTCGCTCATTGTGCGGAAGCAAGAGCCATGGCGAAAGCACAAACCAGATCATTGTACGAGCTTAGGATGGGACAAACACGCAGCCAGTGCGCAGGTGGACTGCAGATCAGCGTTGACTTTTCGCAGGCCTTTGATAGAGCAGACAGGCGGCTATTCATCGAAGCGATGGATTACCTGGAGGTGCCGCAGGAGCTGGGAGATCTCATTATGAGGTGGGTGCGGGCGACAACTTTTCAATACACAAAGCAGATGCGCAATGTTCCTATCAGTCAGTGCAGGGTATTCGTCAGGGATGCAAGCTTAGTCCGACCTTATGGTGCTGTCTCTTTGCATACATTCTGCATCGACTTGATCAGGCTCTGGGCAATCAATGGAGTCAACAACATTTGGTTGGCTTTGCTGATGACCTACACTTGAGATGGCTGTTTAATGACAGGCAGGGCATCGACAATGCCTTGAAAGAAGCAGGTTGCGCTCTCAGTCAACTTGAGGACATGGGATTCTGTCTCAGTAGAGATATAAGACTGTCTGTCTTCTCAGAGCTGAAGGAGTTCAGGTCCCACACATGCTGCGCAAGCTTATCCATAAGAAGAACAAACAGAAGGAAAAGCAAATCCGCATTGATCAAAGATGGATTCTGCCATTGCGCAAGCAACATGTTTACCTTGGGGCTGTTATCTCCTATGGAGCATTCGAAATACAGAACGCACAACACCGCAAACATGCTGGGCAAGCAGCCTTCGCCAGACTTCGGCCCACTCTAATGTCCCAACGCGCTCTCACACTGGATAAGAGGATAAGACTGTGGCAAGCTATTGTGGTGCCGTCTACCATGTACTCGCTTGGTGCCTCTGGTTTCAACAAACAGGCCTTTGATCTGATTAGAGTGATGTTTGTGAAGCAGATCAGGGCGATGGCGAGAAGTCCTAGGCTTTTCACGGAGGAAAGTGACAATTCCTTGCTGAGTCGCCTGGGGGTACCCACGCCATACATGATGATCAGGAGCCAGCAGCAAAACATCTACGACGTCACGCAGACCATCGCTCAGACGAATGGAGGTGACGATTACAGAACACACCCAACTATAATTCAAAGGGAGTTCCAGCTGCTGGAAATGGTACAGGCGCTCGAGACTCAAGCAGCTGCGGACCAGGCAGGGCAAGGAGCCTATCCATGTGATATGTGTGACAAAGCCTTCGACAATGAGGCAGCGCTTCGACAGCACAAGGCCAGACTACATAGTGCGGACAGGATGAAAGCAGCGCCAGCCGCTTTTGACAGGAGACGCCGTGGTACAGACGGCATGCCGAAATGCAGCGGGTGCGGGCACGCCTTCGCCAGATGGACGGAGCTGCAAAAGCGCATAGAAGAGAACCACTGTCAAGGCAGAGCCCCGTTGGATACGGAACAAGCCAAATCCTTCTTTGTTATGGTTCAGGATGGAGATGCTGACATACAGGCGCTGCAGCAGGATGGGCTATCTGACGCACTCAGAAAGGAAATATTGCAACATTGCAGTTTCTGCAGGCGTGGTTTCCCAATGACAGGTATGTCAAGCAGCAGTGGTCGAGGGTGCGCAAGCTCGAGTCTCAGCAATACCTAGCTGCGGCCAAGCACTGGAGGCGCACGCAATTTGGTCCGATTAAGGATGCCTGTGCCTGGTGTCAAGGCACTCCAGCGCCTAGATCCGACCATCGAGACACGTGTCCGGTTCTTTTCCAGATCAGTATGGTTTGGGCGATTCAACATGACCGTGCTACAGCTCAGGAAACAACAGAGAATGCCCTGGAACTCAGTATACCCGACGACAGCACGCTCAAGAAATGGGAGCTCAAGTGTCAAATCTGTGATGTGCAAGTCACTGCTAGGGGGTTACGCAAACAGAAGCAGCGCAGCGAAATGTGGCAGAGGGTACGTGCTCAAGTTGGCAAGTTATGTTCAGCGTGGTCCAAAGGCCTACATTCCGACATTTGTCAATTTTGCAGAGCCAGTTATGGTAAGAAACAAGTACATGCCTTATCTTGTCATGCTATCACACAGACCGCCCTAGAAAAAGTGCGAGCAATTGCTGCCCCTGCGGAAACAGTTGGTGAACATGGCCCTAACAGCAGCACAAGCGGAAGCGCAGATGCAGGAGGTATTCGGAGCAATCAGCACGGGAAAACGAACCCAGACAGCTCAGCCAGAGGACGAAGACTTCCGGAAGCAGCACAGGCCCAACGGAAAGGGAGGCCAGGGAAAAGGGTGGATGAACAAGGGCAGACAGTCACAACAGGCCAACAGGGGAACATCCGCGAGATCATTCGAGGCCGAGGACAACAGCCTGGAAGAAATGATGCGGCTGCTCTGCCGTGTTGTAGTACGGCAGGAGGACATGCTCAACATCATAAAACAGTCCACCAGTTGGGTGATATTCGCGAAGACGGAAGCGCCAACCATTATCCCAGGTCTGGTAGCCGCGTCCCAGAAGTGGAAGGAGGAGATCACCAAGCCGAACAGCCAGCTGGGCAGCTTCAGTCTCAGGACGGCAAATCAGGCCCTGGAACAGGATGCGCCTCGAGTGCCCTTGCAGACGTCGGCCCTGATGAAAATTGTGGAGGACATGAAGGCCCTCGCCGCATCGGAGATAGTGACAGCCTTTCACTCCAAAAGACCCCTGACTTCAAACATGCAGGGGGCGATGGTGGTGCTACAGTTGGACGTCAACTTCCGGAAGCAGGAGGCGAATCAATTCTACGAGAAACTGGAGTTGCTGATGGGCCAGGCAGCGTTACAGCTCGTCGGATTACAGATTCGCAAAGAGGGATACAAGAGATCCGCAGCAGTGACGAAACTGGCAGAACTTACGCGGTGAGGACATTGCTACTCCGAAACAATGCCAATTATTGCTACGTAAATTCGGCTGTCAGGACAGTTCTCTGGGCGGTAGCTGCGGATCCGGAATTGGAGACTCTGCTGACGAATATAGGCCGTCAGTTGGTCCGGGGGCTCCTCACGCACAAAGGCAGACCTATTCTTGTGGCAGGACATATTCTGTTCAGCACAATCTTCACAGGTTGGCGGTCACCAGCTCAGCAACATGATTGCGCGGAGTTTATGGCCCATCTCGTTGCAAGAATAGGTCCGGGTATGTGTGACGGCAAATGGGAGGCCAGAAGACAACAAATTGGTCAGGATGGACACAGCCAAGTGATTACAGTTGATGAGGGCTCATGTCAACAGGCGATATCCCTGGCACTTCCGGATGGGGATATGCACCAAACTCAGTTTCTCCTCCACAACTGGCATGCGCAGGCTCATACACATGCACTACAAAAGGTACCGCAAATTTTGATCTTGAGCTATGCCAGATATGGTGCCCTGCCCGGACGAGTACAGAAGAACTCGTGCATCATAGTCTGGAGACCCATTGTTTATGCACCTGTGTTCTCAGGGGACAACGACTTATCTTCAGGCGTGGCGGAATATGATGTCGTAGCGACCATTATGCATCACGGCGAGGAAGTAAACTCAGGTCACTACACAGCCCAACTAGTTGAGGCAGATGGGGAAGTTCTATGCGACGACAACGTCGCGCCCACTTACCAGGCCCGGGATTTGCGGAACGAAGATGGTCCAACCAATCAGTCTCGCAATGTGTATATCCTGGTCTGCAAGCTGAGACGTGGGATGCCCCTCGGGAGGGGCGGAGCGGCTCAACTCTGAACATGTGACTGCATCTCACCTGCGCAGGTGGCGGGGTGGGGATGCTAGTGAGGTCCGGGAAGAGCCTGGACAATCGGAGGGGAGACAAAACAATGTGGACCACTGTTATGATTGGTTTTTGCTTGCCTGAGGTTCACACGTTTGCCTTGTATCATATGGGTCCATGCGGACCAGGCTTTGCAGGCTTGAGTTCTCAAGCGCGAAGACGGCGCAGGGAGGAGAACATGCCTAGACATGACGTGATCTTTGATGGTGACAATTGTCGCACACCGCCTGGAGTGGAGTCGGATATCTGGCAGTTAGAGTTGCCTTCCATTTTGGGCCTGGCGTATGGAGCCTGCAGAGATGCCGATGATTCTCCAGCAGGATACAGTTTGGTGGAGTCAGTGAACGACTCACAGTGAGAGGGGGAGGAAGCAGCTGAGCCCACCAAGGAGAGAGACGTTGGTCTGCGACCAGAGTCTGCGGAGTTCCACACAGAGGAGTATGCTACAGATGATATTGCGATGGTAGTCGCCGTGAGGTCGGATAGTTCGCGGATGGACGCAAGCCCCAACTCAGACGATGCTCTCACGGAGATAGACGCAGGAGCCTCAGATGAGCAGCTTGAAACCTCAGAGGAAGAGGACTTCGCAGATGAGAGGCCGCCAGGGATCAGAGAGGATGCTAGTCGGGCTGCGCATGTTATTCTGGAGGTACCGTATTCTCTGCCACACGAGGAACTGATAGACCAGTGGAATGTGCCAGAGGATTATGTGAACATATTGTCAGTGCCAGCCATTTCCATGGAAGAACCACCGGAACATCCTTTGGAATTGTATGCATTTCGCATGCTACATCGTGGCTCCATGAACGTCGCCGCTTTCCAGGACTTGCTACAGATACTCGTTCAGCACCTGCCGCAGCTCACTAAGGCCAGAAAGCGCAAGTGCGTGGAGTTCACCAGCACACAACAGGGGGGATCTTCCTTCACGTTGATCTGGGGGAGCTACGTGACCGGAGGACTGTGTGGGGTGACGCGCAACACCAAAGTCTTCCCATGGATAGCGAGGCTACTGGTTGCCCTAGTTAGAGGGCACAGGAATCAACATGTATTCAGCTCGCTTGGTTTGCATCTCAACACGTACATGGCACCACATCTCGACAAACACAATCATCCAGCGCTACCCAGCTACATCATTCCATGCGGACGATGGCAGGGTGGTGGACTCTGGGTAAGTGACGTGTCGTTGCCACAACAGAGCGCCAGCGGGGACATGATGGGGCGGGTGTATACGTTGGGAGACCAAGGAGTTATATTCCGTTCTCACTGGCTCCATGGTACAATGGCTTGGAAAGGGCAACGGTTGGTGCTGGTCGCATATGCCAACAACAATATCAGCAATCTCAGCCCGAAGGACAAGGCACAGCTCGACGCATTGGGCTTCAATGGTCATTACTGAGCCTTTTTCAAGCTTCTTGGTACTTACTTGGCATGAGCAGTATTGACCGATGCTGGGAGTGCGTGGGCTGACACGATATGTATTGCTGGTATTTGCGTCGGTGGACTGTTAATCACTGGCTGCTCTACCTACAGAGTGGAGTATCAGTGGGTACAGTTCGGTGTGGCGCTGAAAGGTAGATCTGTTGTTTCACGTTGTTAGCTCGTTTCTGTATAGTGTCTAGCTACGATGCTAGGGCGCTAGCGCCGGTCGTAGCGAGTGGTGCTGCTG